AAAAAAAAAAAAAAAAAAAACATAATGTGTGTAAGAGCCATGGTTAGCACAGAAAAATGCTAGAAGCAATATATAAATGTCCAATTACAGGAGAATGGTGAGATGACAACACACGTTTTTGAAGAGCTTTTCCTTCATTTATGAAAATGGGGCTTCTAGAACCCTGTTCCTTCAGAGACAATCGGACTTGAGTTCATTGACAGACCACACAAGAAACTCATTTAAAACACAGACACTCAGGTGCTGTCCCCACGGGCTTCCGCTCACTGGGTCCAGCTGGCCCAGGAATCCACATTTAACACACGACTCCTGGAGATTCTGAGATACACAATCCACAGACTAGCCTAATGTTGTGGGGAAATCTAGACTCTAATTCCAACCAGCAAATTATGATAAAATTGCCATATTTTCCTTAACTTTATAAATATCATGTATGGGAAATTCTTTTTTAACTGGTGAACAAGAGAAAACATTCTCATGACCTTAGAAATCAACATTGTGCACCCCATCTACACTTAATCTCTAGTCCAGTGGATTTTTTTTAATCAGGAAGAACTATTGATTTGAAATAAAATAGGAAGCTTTTAAAGTAACTAGAAGTCCAAGTAAATTTAGCATATCCAAAGGTGGAGAATGTATCCTGATCAGAGATCACAGAACCTCTTAGTCTATTTAAAATCCCATGCTTTTATTTACAAATGAGAGAACATTATGAAAATGAATTAACAGCTGTCAACATGCAAAATTACTGTGAAGTAATAACAAAGCTCAGGGAGGAGGAAGTAGAATCTCCTTCACAAACATTGTCACTTAATTCTTAAAACCTATAATGAAGTCAGGGCAAGTTCCATAAGCATTTATTGATGAATAAATTCAATGACTTTCAGGTCACAGTCATTTAGAGATAGGAATTGAGGCCCCAGCAATCCAAGGGAGTTTGCTGAAAGCAAGCAGACTGTTGGCAGCTAAGCCAGGTCGGGAGCCCAGGCGCCCAGCACTGGCTCAGGTGACCTTCTGTAATAGGGGCTGTTACACTTGACTGAAATCTCACCTTTTAAAGTGTGGCCTTTGGCTTGAGTAGGTTAGAATTCCAAAAACACAACAAGAATCTGTTGCTAGGCGGTGCCTGTGGCTCAGTGAGTAGGGCACAGGCCCCATATACTGAGGGTGGCGGGTTTGAACCCGGTCCCAGCCAAACTGCAACAAAAAATAGCCAGGTGTTGTGGTGGGCGCCTATTCGGGAGGCTGAGGCATAAGAATCACCTAAGCCCAAGAGCTGGAGGTTGCTGTGAGCTGTCATGGCACAGCACTCTACTGAGGGCAATAAAGAGAGACTCTGTCTCAAAAGAAATAACTTGCTGCATGTCTGTCGAGACCTCATGTTAAAGGCTCAAATGAACTCTGAAAGCTGTGAACCGTGATTCAAGCTTTCCTGCCTCACCCAAACGTGAGTCTCTCCTGGGAAACCACAGCATTATCAGATTATACAGCCTAATGTAATTCAAGATGAGTTTCCTGATAATAATAAACTGGTTTTATGTTCTTTTTCTAACATTCTTTCAAAAGTACCTCAATTTGTCCTTAAGACTGGATTACGAACTATCATGAACATGAGAAATATTACAGAAAAAAATACATAGCGCTATTGATTAACTGATGATTTTCACCTGTGTGTGTGTGAGGCAAGCGAGGGAGGGAACTTCAGCGTCCCAGGGACTTCCCAGCACTGTAACAGGGTTTAGCT